CCAATCCCCACCAAATTGAGGTTCATGTGAGAATGAGACCATCAAGGTGGCCATAAAGGGAGACTGAAAAGAGGGTAAAACGAAAGGCTGCTCACGTGAGAACAACGGGTGAGTACACGCTTGTGCGTGTGCGTGTGTTGTTTTGGCGTGTTTAGTGCACAGCAGTTTGTGTATTCAGCTCGTGTTGGCAGGCATGAGTCCACACGTTTCCATCCCATTATCACATCGTCAACGCCTCCAGCTGTCCATCTACTGTGTGCTGATTTGTTTGTCCACTGGTGTATATCTTCTGTTCGTTGGTTTGCTTGCTTGCTTGCTTACTCCCTGTTGCGTGTGATTAGGTTCACCTTCCCTCCCTCCCTCCCTCTCGTTGTCTTCAATACACTCGCACAGTCACTCAGCCTTCATTCCACATATACTATCAATCTTGTTACACAAGACTGCGTGTCAGTCAGACCATATAATCACCCTCAGGGCAACGTGATCACCGCATTATGATGTTTATTGTGCGTGTATACGTGTACGCCTCCATTCTCTCTTGAAATATCTATATCTATATGTACTTCTCTTTGTGGGTGTGTTAAATGTGTGTGCGAGGAGGAACAAACAAATGCTGTCCGCCTGTAATGAATCCCCTCTATCGCTCTCCACGAGGAGCTTACGTACCAATTCACTCGCGCAAAAACCAAATAGCCACGTCCTCACATGATGCACATGGTTGGTGAACTGACTGCCTTCAATGGTGGTAAATGAGGAGTGGCAGGTTGAGGCTGTCATGTTCAACCTTCCTCAATGTAGCTTCCTCACGCTCACCTGCGCACTTGCGGACTGCTGTGACCACCCCACCATCACCAGCAACAGCAACGAACCAGTAATGGATAAACAGTCACGCACACATCTGAACACACACGTCCACGCACACAGGAAGTCACCATTCTCATTCACATTCATTCAATCATTCGATCGGACATCACACAGTCTTTGCAAACATCTAACCGGTTAGTCACTCCTTCCATGCACATGCACATGCTCACGTAGGTACACGCACACACACACACACACACACACACACACACACACACACACACACACTGGGGGATCGTAGCAGAACTTTGAGCATGCTTCATTGAGAATGAGGGGGATGGAGGAGCTTGAGAGTCAGACTAAGCATACACGTGCGTACGTATGGAGACCACACAACAGCTTAGCATCACATCACACCAGACCCGGCCAACCTAAGTCAAGCCCAGGCCCAGCTAGGGTTGGTTCAATCAAATCCGTTGCCATGACTTCCACATGGGCGTAGGGGAAGTACGGAAGACTCGATCAAAAGAGTTTCGTCGAGTGATGAGCTATGGAAGACAGGTGCTCTAATTAACGTTGAGTTGGACGAAGAGCGACAACCCTTAAGTTAGGCAATAATATAGTCAAATCATAAACATGTTACCATGATTGCGGTCCAGTTTAGCTGGATTCTCGGACAGGAAGACAAACGACTGAATGTTGCTCATCTACCTCAACAACCGCAGTCTACGTTTTCCATAAATTAATTCTAAGTATATGACTTCACCCAGCTTCGTTACAAATATTTGTGGAAGTATAACGTGGAATCGGATTAGCATAATCAGCCTTTGTGAATGAACTTCAGCAGTAATGATATAACCAATAAGCCAGATGGATTCATAAAGTGGGGATAAAAAACACTGCGATCTCGGGGATAATAGTGCCGGAAGCCCAATGAAATAATAGATCAACAAGATTGGGGGAGGGGTCAATAGCACAAACCGATTAGGAACCATTTGTGTACTACTCATAGCGACATAGCGACATAGCGACCACTGAACATATATTTTCCTCAGAAATGCATTTCCAGCTGCATTGTGAGTATACTGGCATGTGAGTCATGAAATCACATCGAAAAATGTTTGGAGAAAATCACATGTGAGAAATGACGAATAGAGCTGCGTTTGATTGAAGCTCCACAAACATTTAGATAAGAACAACATGAACCGCTGATCAATATGATTTATGATATATCATTTGGTGATCACTATAGGGATATCTAAATAATTCCATTTTGACATCAATCTTCCACACAGTGACTGAACAAATTATATTAAGTTCAGTTTAAGCATTTGCGTGCAAAAACTGGACATTAGTTACTTGGGAAAATATTGCAAATAAATTAACGGTGGTGCAAAATGTGAAGTAATCAGCTGAATATTCATTCATCGAAGTATATAAAGCGACCTTGACTTGATTCGAATAAATTTTAATGTTCCATCTATTTCAACGCTCTTATAAAATCGTACTGAAGGCCGTGTGGTTGAGTGAACTTGAATAAATACGAGAGAAAAATGCACAGAAGCACTGCGAAGATTTTCAGCCTAGCCTAAGGATCTCAGGGGTTCACATGAGTTAATGGGACGTAATTTCTCGTGGACGTAATCATGAAGGAAACAGAACACTGACCAATCGGTTGCCTTTATTAACTAGCCGCCCTCGACCTCTGAGCAATACATTTATGTGGCCATTTGGTGGCCATTCATAAAAACCTTAGCTTCATAAAACGATCACAAATTCATCTTAGTTTATGATTGATGTTCAATTTTTCCATTCGAAATTCGATTATTCGAATTTTCTGTGATACCTCTTTGAGTCCCAATCGCGTTCATCCTGATTCCGCATCTGCTCATTCGACCATGCCCCTCTACATGTCGTTCGATTTGGCGGTCGGTTGGCTGGTTGGTTGGTTGGTTTTTGCTTGCTTCGTGTGCGCGAGAATTCAACTTGAATTTTGTCCCATACCTGTTTGTTTGTGTGGGGCCGTTAAGTTGCCTAAATAGACTGTTCACGTTCACGTTGAGACAACATCTTGTCATCCTTTCTTAAATCACGGTGACGACCTCAAACCTGTTGTTTCGCACGCTTGCCCTCTCACCACCACCCTTTATGCATCAATACCACTACCGCCACCTCTCTCGTTTCTTCCTTCTCACCGGCACGCCAACAAAATCACTCAACAACATAGGAAGGCAGACAAGCAATCGACTGCTCATGGCCTACACCTGGATGTCACACAGCTTAGGCAACAGAGCGGATTGAAGTCAGATCGAT